ACTGGTACTCCATTAGTGGTTCCAGCCACTGGTACTCCATTAGTGGTTCCAGCCACTGGTACTCCATTAGTGGTTCCAGCCACTGGTACTCCATTCACGAGTTCTCTAGAAGAGTAGATCTCATTCGTTCAAAGAGTTTGGAAGCCAAGGTAGGCTAGTTAGGTAGGCCCTGGCAAACAGCAGTCATCGATTCAAAAGTCTCTTCTCAGGTAGGCACGCCATGTTGCAGCTACATTAGCAGCTATTGTGTGGCCAAGCGTCAATCAGTCCCGTTAGAGGACCACTACCTTTCCAAGCTGTTGGCAGCAGGCCGGTACCCGCAAGTTCTGGAGGTGGGAAGGCCACAAATGAAATTAATCAGCAGTGGCCTGCTTTGAGCCCGGCCCCAGAAGTATGTGGTGTGGTGTAGGCTATATTCCCACTTTCCCGACAGCGGGTAAGGTAGTGCCAGTTCAAGCAGCAAGATCCAAGGGAAATCCATGGCTTCTGAAAACAGCACACAGTGGCAAGGCAACCCACCATAACAAGCAGAAGAAGTCTGAAAGGCGGAACGAAGTACAAAAGTCCAGCAGCGTTCGAGCTCAGATACATGGTGTTTTGCACCAATGCAGAAGCGCTGCTGTGGTCTTGTGCGTTGGAGTGGCAACCAGTGAGTGAGGCAGAGTATAGGGTTGAGCAGTCGATGGCACTGGCGCCATAGCTGTAGTACGAGGCAGAGGGGAAGGCATTTTGAGACACGATGAGGACTGTGAGGCGAGAGCAGAAGCTGTAGTGAACCCAGTCTGGAAGATACTCATCAGATGTCGAAGTACAAGTAGACTCATGCACAATGTCTCCAGTTAACGTGAAATGATAACTGAAACATTATCTCATTACCAAAGACGAAGAGAGTAGAGGGGGAATAGACAGAGGAGAAGGTGGAAGAGAGAATCAATGAACACACAAGAGTAGCCCAATCCTTTCCCACTCCTCCAGGCTTCCCTTCGCCTCCACGTCAACAACCAATATACGGTAACAAGTCTGATAAATCCTGATCACACACAAGTGCCACGTGGCACTTTCTTTCTCGTGGAGACCATGAAGACAACTAGCAGCGTGGAATATCGATGTCAGCCTCAGGTCAGTACCCTGTCCTCCAATCGTCCACAGATCCCGATCTCCCTCCTTATCGCAACCAGTCACCTCATGTCGTCAGCAGAAGAGACAGGTGGCATGCGCCACATCAACAATGAAGACAGGTGGCAGAGCCACATCAGCAATGCAATGTAGACAGGTGGCAGCGCCACATCAACAATGTAGACAAGTGGCATGAGCCACATCAGCAATGCAGAAAAGTGGCATGCACCACATCAGCAGTGTAGACAGGTGGCATGCGACACATCAGCAAGGGAGACAGGTGGCAGCACGAGATCAGCAATGCCGGGCGCACAGAACAAAAAGTGCCAGCATGCTGCCACAGTCCAGCGTCAAGCCAGCGTCCAGCCAGCGTCGAGCCAGCGCTCTGCTAGCGTCAAGCCAGCGTCAAGGCAGCATAGCAAGACTGAATGTTGACCTCCTGGAGACCAAGCCTTATGACGAAGCAGTCCGGCCTCAGGTCTCCTTTCCACAGTCATACAGATTGACTCACAGCCGTGGGCCTGAATTGTACAGTTGCAGATTTCCCCTTGGTCCTGATGCTGTCTGGGTACCTGCATACAAACAAATGTGTGCGTCTGACCGACAGGGTGGGCTGGGTACACTTTGACTCTGACTGTTGGATGTCCGACAGTTGACTTTAGTCAACTGTCACACGTTCAGGCCCTGAATCTTTACCTGGGGTTCTTTTCCCCCTTCGGCCTGGGTCTGAGTGCGGCCTGGTAAGGCCCTCAGACAATCCACGAGACATACGGCATGCGTTAGAGAGACATTTGAGAGAGGACAAAGAATTACACTTACCAGGCATGCTGAGTTGAGTGGCCATAGCCGCTGGTGATGTAGAAGACAACAGAGTTTTGTGTCGACTATTGAGACTCTTTAGGACTTCGTGTGTCTAATGTGAGTTTGGTGTGATGCAGGATTTGTGTACAAGTGTCCCTTGCAGGGTGGTCTCATTGCAATAGAGTTCTAGGTGTGTTCGACTGCTGGCCATAAATCAGAAAACAAACAGGTGATGAATCTCTTAGGATCAATATGAAGGAAGCACTACGCACAGAAACCTGACACAGCAACCATAAGCCCCTGCCAATTTCATTCCTCCTTTCCTGTCACTTCTCCCAGGGATTACAATTCCACATCAACTGGTTTTTTCCCCTTTCCGCTTTTCCAAACTTCGGGAACTGAAACACAGGGGGACTTTAATAGCTCTTCCACAGTAACAAATGCTCATCCACCATCTCTCTCTCTCTCTCTCTCTCTCTCTCTCTGTGTGTGTGTGTGTGTGTGTGTGTGTGTGTGTGTGTG